TAGCCTATGAACATTGCCCGAGCCTGAGCAAATTCATCATTTTTCACAATAGAAAACACTTATATTTCTCCTAAGGATTAACTGTCTCTAGGTAAAGCACTGAATAGCAGGATCAGTAAGTCAGCAAATGCTTGTAGAATGTTAATGTGAGCATGCTGTGTGTTGTATGGGCTCTCCAAGGATGTGAGCAATGTTATGCCTCCATCTAAGGTTCCTCAGACCTTTGAGTGAATGGTCATGTCTGTAAGTAACTAATAAAGTGAATTAAGTCTGATTCTGTGCGTAGTGAGAAGCTGAAGGGAGGGAGAAGTCATTTGGGCTAGAATTAGAGAGTGATGAAAAATTCGTAGAGGACAGGTGAGCATGGCATCTAACAGTGGAGTTTGGATGTAAACAAGCAGGGAGGAGCAGGGAGGCGTTACCCATGCCTGCTCCCAGCTCAGGTGTGTAGTAGAGGCCTCTCTCCATCTGGAGGTGCTTGCTCCTTTACTTTCCTTAAGTAGAAATGGGAGAAGCCCCCTCACTGATCAACAGCGGCTCCTTTAGCTACCATAGGATCACCTCACTAGGAAATCCATCCCTGTTCTCTTCCCCAGTTAGAAATCTCAGCAGAAAGCTAAAAGGAATATTGGAAAGTTACCATTTTGACTACAGAAAGGCCCACCCACCCTCACTGGCAAGATTAACTGAATACAGCTGAGTGATGTCTTATTTTGAATTTTGAACATAAAAAATATTTCCAAATTCATTATTTTTGCACAGATATAGGAGCTGACGTCTTTATACATAAATACAGTTTCACACTAATTTTTATTAACTTGTGAAAATTTTCTTTATAATAAAACAATTTTTGTATTAAAATCATGAAAAAATTTAAGCTTTACATTTTGGTTTTATAAAACAATTAAAAATTTATGTTGAAACCCTTGATTGTATTTACTTTAAAAAAAATTCAGTGCACTTAGTTTTAGCATTAAACTTTGTAGTTTTAGTTTTTCATCGCACAGCCACAGCAGAAGCAGTAAATCAGGACAGAAACCAAGCAGCCTCTCAAAGTTGAAGACAGACTCTCAGGCAGTATGGGCTCTGTTTTTCTAGTCTGCTCCTGGTGGCAGATTCACGTGGCCTGTGCATGCTCCTGGATTTCACACTGTTGAACTACATGAGCTGCTGCCAGTGAGATAGAGAAGGAGCAGCTGTAACCAGCTTGCTTCCCACACTGTATTTTGTAAAAATCTGGAGTCTTTCAAAATTTGACTAGGCATTCCTCGATTAAAGGGTTTGTTAGCTAATTTTAGGGTATTTGAAGTAATCACAGTGTATATTTGTTTTTTATTTAACTCAATATTTCCTGAATTTAGTTGAGCTTTGAACTTACCTACTTTGTCCTCCTCCTCTGTCCAGTTTCCTTCCTTTCTTCTTTAGGAACACTTATTAAAATCTGCAGATCAGATTTTGGGAATGGTCACTGTGAAGTTTCATGCACATATGAGCTGCACACATGCACTGCACGCAGATGTGTGTTACACACACACAGACACACACAGACACACACAGACACACACACACACACACACACACACACAGCAGTGAAGCCTGTTGCTGTGTTGCTCTGAATGATCAGCAGTTAACCAAGCATGATAAAAGTTACTTCATGGGGGATGGTGGCTAGAGAGATGGCTCAGTGGTTAAGAACACTTGCTCTTCTTTCAGAGGACCACGGTTCAAGCCCAGCACCCACATGGCAGGGGATCTCTTGCCCTCTTCTATCTTCCGAGGGTCCTGCTTGACACAGGTATACTTACATACATGCAGGCATAACACTCGTAAATAAAAATGGTTACCTCAGGGAAGAAGAGAGGAGCAGGTTAAGGTGATAGAAGACAATGCCCTTTTTACTATAAATACTTCTGTTTTAGTTTTCCATTAGTCTAAACTTGTTTTGTAATCTTAAGAACAAAAATGAAGTCTTAAGACTGAGAGAACCTCTACTTAGAAAAGATCGCTTATTCTGAACTTCCATGCTAGTCTTTCTGGCATCTGTAAGCTCTTTGTTCAGAAAGTACCTGATTTTGTAAGACATTTTTTTTTCAGAAATAAACATACCATATGAAGTGAAGGCAGTGTAATTACATAAAATCGCCATCCTGTGCCTGTACCTGTGGTGGCTTCACATGCTTTTGTTGCTGTTGCTAATACACTATGCTCTTCCCTCTTGTGTGCTCAACAGGCAGAGCAATGTCTTACCATGTCTTTGTTTCGCCACCACTCTGCATCGAACCTCGAACCCAGTAGGCACTTCTTCAGTGTAGACACAGAAGGGGAATGTTTACAACCATTCCTGAGGGAATATGTTAATGCCAGTCACTGTCAGATCATTCATATATGTATATATGGTTCTCAATATCGTGTGTGTATGTTGTATGTATACTAAGTATATATATTAAATTTGTTCATTGACAATTTCATACATGTATATTGTGCATTAAATTACTGTTATCCCCTATTCTTTCTGAACGCCTAACCCCTTTTACCCTTTATAAGTCCCTTTGCCACATTCATGTTATTTTGTTTTGTGACTTACTGAGTTTAACCAGGCCAGCTGTGTGTCCATGTTTTTGAAGCTACCCATTGGGCCCTAATGGGCCCACCAGTGGGTATACCCTCTGAAGACAGTAGATGTCCCTCCTCCAGAATCCATCAGCAACCAGTAGTTCATTAGGGACCATCAATAACCAGTAGTTCATTAGGGATGGATAGGGCTCCATGAATCCCTCCCCAGTCTACTAATGACTGGTGACAGGCCCTGTATCCTGCAGACAGCCATAGCTACTGCAAGATCATGACTGCACTAGCTGTGTCCTGCCTACAGGACAGTGTTTCACAGCCCTTCTCCCTATCATTCCCACTCTTACATTCTTTGCACACACACCCTTCCTCAGTGTTCCCTGAGCCTTAGAGTAGGGTTCTCAATGTCCTGTTTGGGGCTGACCACCCAGCAGTCACTCTCAGTACATTAAGCAACTATGTATCTCTTGATTCACTGCCATTCATTGAGAGAAGCTTCTCTGATAGTTGGGTCTTGGGCACCTTCTGAAGCCACTTTCAGCTCTTAAGAGAACTGTGTTCTTTTGAAAATATCTATTAAGAACAGCTTCCTCAAGTTTTTAATTTGTATCTGTCCTAAGAAAAGACAATGTTAAGCATCTCTAAGTGCAGGTGATACAGTTTAGTAGCTAACTCCATTTCTTTTCTCAATCTCCCAATTAACAGAAGTTCTTATTTTCTTTTATTCCCTATAAAAATTTCTTTCTAAGATCACCAGTGATCATTCAGTTTTCTTTCTACCCCAAGGAAACAGAACAAGGCAGGGTACCCCTTATTGTGCTTTTCTTTCATTGATGCATACCAATCTTTTGTGGAAAAAGTTTCCTCAAATAAATAAACCATTTAGGAGATGAACAAACACTGACTTGGAGCATTGAATGCAGCCACAGAGACCATTCTCAGGTTATCCTTCCAGCCAGAATATGAATGCTGTGTTTCTGTTGATCACTGGTTGGGCTGATGTTCTAGAACATACTATCAGGAGTGAAGTGAGTAAATGCATGATTGATTTCTTATGGTTATAATCAGTTCTTCTGATTGGAAAGACAGTTCTATTACAGCCCCTGTCTCCTATGTTGATCATTATGTGACAAGGTTGGTGGCCGTTACATTTGTCCATCTGTGGTAATTGACAGGGTGGTTAATTTGGTTTACACTCTGAAGGGCAGCTTCAGTGAGTTTTTGACATTTTGTTTCTGTTGCAACTTCCAAGTTTCTTCTCATCTTGGCTAGCTCAGTAACAAAGTGATCCCCCTGCCTGTTGAATCTTCTCATCTATATCCAACATAAGAGGCATACTTCAAAAAGTAATGAATTTACAGTGTGTGTTTATGCATGTATATGAGTCTAGTGTATGTATGCGGTCTGTGCCCATGTGTATGTGCAATTGTATGTACCTCTGGGCACATGTGTGGAGGCCAAAGGAAGACACTGTGTGCTCAATCACTTTCCACCTTATTCCTTTGAGACAGGGTCTCTCACTGAACCTGGAGCGAGGCTGGTATCCAGCAAGTCCAGGTAATCCTTCTATCTCTGTCCCTTACAGTTGTCTCTGTTCCCCACCACACTGAAATTACAGGTACACGTGTATGGCCACACCCAGCTTTTTTATGTGGGTACTGGGATCCAAAGTCAGGTCCTTGTGCATGTGTAACAAATTTTCTTACCCACTGAACCATCTCTCCAGCCCAAGAGCCATGCTTTAAAATACAAACTTGAATATGTTTTATACTGAAAACTTTGGTGGCTTATTTCAGCTATAAAATGAAAATCCAATACTGAATGTAACCCCTTAAAATAGAATCTCAACCCTAAATCCTCCCTTACTGCCTCTCAGTCCCTGTCAGCCCTGCACTGTCCCTCTTCATCATGCGTCCAGAATGCAGAACCATCCCACATTTTCTCTGTAGTAATTAACTCCAAACTCCCAGAGCACCTTGTATTATTTGTAGTACTCCCTGGATCTGCCTCAAATATGTAATTTTTCATGCTTGTCTCTTTTGGAGGTTTGTGAGTTTCTTGAAAACAGAATTTGCCTCTTAAGTCAACTTCATATCTCCCAACTCACCAGGAAAATGACTAGAATTCAAATGTCAGCTACATTTAAAATAATTTACTTTAAACCAGATTAGACTATCAAATAACATATTTTCTAAAATTTGTATGAGTCTGACATGAAATAAATGAAGGGGAATATTATATTCCCTATCTTTAAAAGTCTTTCAGCATGGCTTGATATTTTATTTTAGGTTCTTAAATGATGCGTAATATAAGTAATGTCAGTTTTATAGTACTTCAGTTAATTCTTTTATGGCCTTTTGGGTGCAATCATATAATTAGTCTCTAAGCTACTTACCAGTTCTTTTTAACACTTCCACTGTATTTGTTTTCAGAGAGAGATGGATGCCATGTGTCATCTAGTACAGAAATTCTGAAGTTAGAAAACATTTGTGAAGTCAAGTCCCTTCAAGTAAGTCTTAGCATGGGCAGAGAATGAAGTTTGCTACCTCAGACACTTTCAGACTCACGTCTTTCTTGTATATGGGATCTCTATCTTGGAAAATGGTAGGAAAATAATTTCTCATTAAATTCATCATATTTTTAATTTTTATTTGTATCAAGTCTAATCAAAGAGTCTTAAGTATGTGCCAAATAGTGCATTCAAAATGGCTTTTCTATTACAGTACTTTATTTTTCAGTTATTTTAAGTTTTATACAGCTTTTCTAAATGACTTAGATCTTCCTATTAAAGGGTGTGATTTATTAAGTAGCACTTGGACCTTAAATGTTTACTGTTTGTTTAAAACCCTGGCTTTAAAGGTTCACCTTCACCAGCTTTAACTCCTATGATTACCTCCCAGTGGCTTCCTTATATTCCTTCTCTCTTCCCCCGTCCTATCCTACTCCCACATAAATCTGTACTTAGAACAACTTCAGTAATCTTAAAATCTTTTTATGATAAACAACTCCCTCTTGGCTGACATACATGTTCCCTTTGCCTGACACCCAAAGCACCCTACCACATTCCCCCAAACACTGTTTGCTAAGCCAGCTGGCTTCTCCTCTTTTCTGAGCTCACATTGTCTTCCATGCCCCTGTTTTGGCCTATGCTGGTTTTGACGATGCTGTGTTGGTGCTGTTTCTGATGTCTGTGGTGGTCCCTGTTCTTCCACCCTTGCTATTTCTTCTGTGTCTTAAATACCATGTGAAACCTCCGTGAAGCCTCTAGGCTGTTCCAGCTGGAGGCACTGGTTCGCCTCTCTCTGCTGCCTGTATCTAATGTTTTGTTATTATTTCTGTATCAGTATTTTACCATGTAACTTCATTGTTAAGTTTGTATCTGTTGTCCCCGATCCTGTACTGTAAAGTTATAAAATCAAAGATCTTGTCTAACTTTTGTCTCCCATGACATTTAGCCTAGCTCAGTAATATTTGCTTAAGAAACTAAGAATGTACTTGGCTTTCTTCCCATGGTGCCCTCTGGCTTTCCTTCTCATAGATACCTATGACCCATGTTCATGGTAGCTCGTTATTCTAGTTATGCTCTCCTGGCTGCTGTGTCTCCTAGGAAAATACTGAACATAGTGCGATTAACAAGATATAGTCAGTTCCAACCTCAGAAACAATTTGTTTCCCAAAAGTCCATATCTGGCCTGTTGTTTGGAGAACAGAAAACATTTTTCCACAAAACAGTGTTATAAATAGTAGTTAGGTTCTCAGCCAGCCTTCTCAATACTATTTAACTCATATGCACCAGTGTTGCTTCAACTCCAGGCAGCCACCATGTACAGAGCTATTTTGTAGAAAAGTTGTACCCTAAGTCTCCTGGGCAGAGACTGGTCAGGAACTTAATGGGCTGAGCTGAGGTCTGGTAGCCATCATGCTGGATGCTCTCCCACCAGGGCATGCTAGCTTTCAAGGATGTGTCACAGATGTTCTATAGGCTTCTGACACTCTCAAGTCATCTAAACTGAGGGAGTAGCACCCTAACTCTCTGGTTCTCTCTGTGGTGGATTAAGATGGGCTTGGGCTGTCCCTTCACAGGGGTGGGTCTTTTTAAAACCAGGTGATGAGGGATAAAGAGCTGTTTTACTACTCTCCCTTACTGCTCTTCTACAAACAGCATAATACATATGCATGGAGAATGCATAAACATAGAAAATCATTCTATCTATGGGAAAAACACATTAATAGGTATCACCTCTATATTTGACATCACATCAGTTTTTGTGAACAAGTTATTATCATTTCTACGTGGGCATAATGATGCTTCCAGTGAAAAACATGTCAGTGTATGCATAAACAACCCTTGAGGTTGACAGCTCAGGTTGTCAGACTGTAAGAAAAATCACTTCATAAATTTAAGAGAATTTAATTTATTCAGTCATCATTAAGTATTGCACACATAAGTATCTGTTTTATGTTTAATACTGTTGTCAATGCTAGAATCTATGGAGTGGAAACAAAAGATGTTAGGAAAAGTTTGACTTCCCTTAGGGACCTGAAACATAGGACTCACAGTGATAAGGAAACATCCACAGTGAAACAATATTATTGTCATAACAGAGGAAGTAAATGGTTTTAGGATGATCAGAATGTCATTCCCTTTATGATTTCAGTGGTTCCGAATATGGTGATGGGGGTTCACTCTGTTGTAGAAGAATGCAAAAGATGTAAATTGAGCTAAGGAGGAAATTATATTCCAGGGGAACTGTCAGGCTGGAGGCAGGCAACCTGGCACCACTGGCCAGGGCAGAAGAATCAAGTTGTGTTGGGTAAAATAATAGATGGGAGAGTTTGTTCAGTGCTTGCATCCTGGCAGTCTATAGTCCTCACCCAGATTTCTTAGAGCTGCAAGACCCTGGATCTCGTCCAAGAACTATTAAGTAGAACTTCTGACGTATAAGATATCAACCTGTTTACCTTTTAAAGCTCCCCCAATGGTTCTGACAGTCAGCCAAGGTTGAAAACCCCTGGATTAGAAGGATTAGCCAAATTTAGGAGAGCCAGGAATGCTCTACTGAGGAGCTGGTCCTCTGTCCCTCAGGCAGTGGGGAGCCAGCCCTCAGGGGCTCCTGAGAAGAGTGACATGATGGGAATATGTTTGCCAAGATAAATGGTTCCTCAACTTCATGTGAATGGAAGACAGACAAGAAACAGCCTGACTTAGAGTTTGTGACAATGTGAAAAAAGAGAAGAGTCACATTTTAAGTATACATAGATGTGTGGGAGTTGGTGATATCAGCCTTGACCTCAGCATGATTTGTTTTATAAACTGATTTTACAACTTCACCCTCATTAATTTGATACCTTTTCTCTTACAGTTTGGCAACTTAAACAGTAATTTCAGCCAGCTTGCATTTAATAGAAGGAGACCATCATCTCCTCATGTACATGTCTAACTCATAATAGTAAGTGAAGTTATGTATATGAGGAATATGACCTTTAACATAATCATTATAAAGCATTTAATAACCTCCCACATATGCAGTACCACAGCCTTAGTCCTGCAGGATAATGCCAGGAGTCCAAGTCACATGTATAAGGTAGTTGTAGGCACAATGTTCTCTAGAATTAAATTGAAATTTGAAGCAGTATTCTAAGCCATGCTATTTTTAATGTTTTTTCATTAAATTTGGTAATGGCCTACTTTTGTGGTAGCAGATCTGGTTGCCTCCCGACTGCAGCACCTATCCTCCTCCTCATGTGCTTCTCTCCCCACATATCTCCCTAGTTGGAGCAGCCCTTTGTTTCTCATCAGCCCCTTACCTGCTTATCTCAGTCCTAAGTACCTGTGCCTGTTCTCATGCAGGGGTGTGTGTGAGCAGCAGAGCAGAGTTTTAAGGAGCAATTCTCCTGGGTCCTTGGCAAGCCTGGTGGACTTGATGACTCTTGCTCCTGGCCTAAGTAGGACCTGGTAGCTGCTTTAGTACCCACATACAGGATCCCAAACCGCAGGGTGGAACACTTCAGAGCCTTTTATTATGTGTTGTTTACATTGGAAGCAGTAAGTAGCATGAAGCGTTAATGTGACCTTTTTATTATATTTTATTTTTTAAGTTTTACTTATTATTTTTATTTTATGTGGATGCGTGTATTGCCTGATTTAGTTAAGTGCACCCGTGTTGTGCAATGGCCGCGGAGTCAGAAGAGGCTGTCGGATCCCCTGGGACTGGACTTACAGACAGTTGTTAGTGCCATGTGGGTGCTGGGATTTGAATCTGGGTCTTCTGCAAGAAGAACCAGTGTTCTTAACCACTGAGCCATCTCTCCAGCCAATGTGACCTTTTTCAAAAGGCTCAACCAGGGGCTGGAGAGATGGCTCAGCGGTTAAGAACACTGGCCGTTCTTGCAGAAGACCCGGGCTCAAATCCCAGCACCCATATGGCAGCTAACAGCTGTCTGTAACTCCAGTCCCAGGGAATTCAACAGTCTCTTCTGTCCTCCACGGGCGTTGCACGACACGGGTGCACTTACCTACATGCCGGCAATACACGCATCCACATAAAATAAAAATAATAAAATTTTTTAAAAAAGGCTCAACCAATGCGGGGCTGGAGAGACAGCTCAGCATATACAGTGCTTGCCACAAAAGCATTAGGACCTAAGTTTGGATCCACCCACATAAATAAAACTGAGACAGGGGGACCCTGGAGCAAGCTCACTAGCTAGGCAGGCTCAATCCACAAGGTCTGGGTTAGAGAGAGAGAGAGAGAGAGAGAGAGAGAGAGAGAGAGAGAGACCAACCCTGTCTCAAAATCAGGTAGAAAACAAGATACTCAACATCAACTTCTGGTCTCCACACATGTGAATGTACATACAACATCCCACACACAAACACATGCCAAAGAGGGATAAAAAGAGCTTACTGGCATGAATATTTAGAGACTTTATCAGCTATTCTGTAATAGTACACTCATGGCAACAATTTTTACTATGATCTTCTTGGCCAGTGACAATGAATTTATTGTTGTTTCATCAATATTGACATGCTCTCTCATTCCTTTTGCAATATTTAAGTTTTCAGTGTTCACCCAAATGTGTAAGCAGAGAATGGATGGCTGGTTTGGACTTGAGGGATCTGGTAGGAAAGAGAAGAGACTCAGTGTTTATCAAGGGCTCACCCTGTTTGCACTTTGTCTTTAGAACTCCACTTCACAACTGAGGAAGTGGGATTACCTGAAGCAGGGGTGAAGGCAACACTTAAATCTACCTTTGGTTGCAGGTTGATCTGTCTAAATAGCCTGATCTTATAATCTTTTCCATTTTACTTGTAAGGGACTATCGGTGAACTTGAATCAAGAGGGCTGAGTGCAGACTTCATATCTGTCACTAACAGGCTTGAGCATGTCATTTCATACATCTTCATTTCCTCCTCTGTCAAATGGCATAAACTTGCTGTATTGACCACTTGGGACCAACGTGAGAATGATGAGCTAATGAGAGTCAGTACAGCCATATAGGAAAAAAGGTAGAGGGTTGAGATTTTCTTAACTCCAGTCGTAAATAAGCAACAACAAACAAACAAAATGGGAAAAAATTTGGGAAAAAATGTAAAAGCAAAT